AAAGCTTCTGATGTAGAATTTAGTACTGAAGTAACTGGGGCTGAACTGAAGCTGAACTATCTTTTTTAACTGACAGTAAATGATTAAATACACTGAATAGGAGAGGTCCCTATGCACACAGACTTTTTTTTGCTGCTCATAAATCTCACTTCTCTCTGAAACACACATCTGCTTTCTTGTCATTCATGGATTGAAAAACAGTTATATGGTCTGTGGCTGCTGAAGGGAGAATACCTGATTTTATGCTTTCATGAGGTAGTTTTCCTCCTTCCAAGCTGGTGTGCTATCAACAAGGATATGCTGAGTGGAAATAATGAGTATTTAAGAGATGGTTGTGTTGGGAAGCTACCAGGAAGAACTGGGATCAAGATGACGCTGCTTTCCCACGCCCCTTTCTGTTGTCTTCTCAGAGTGACTTTGCCTGTCTTTTGCTGTATTTAGCACAGATTTGAGCACCGCTTGTCTGCATGTTCAGAAGAGGACTTTTTCTTAATCTAGAGAGAAAAGGGTGGCCTCTACGGTAGGGGCACATCTGCCTTGTACAGTTCTCACTGCACATCTGACAACGAAGTACACCACCCAATCAACGCAGGCTCATTTAGAGGAGTCGGGAGGATTTGTGTGCACTTTACTTGTTGACGTAGTTCCATCATCTCCAGCAACGTAAACCAACAGGACCTTTAGAGGACTGGGTATGTTGGGTGGTTGAGTGGCACCGATTCCACCAAACCCTCCAGCAGACAATTGTTGGTAGCAGAGCCCTGAAGGGCCTATTCCAATGGAAGGGGCAGGAAAGGTAGGCTTATTTCCATGGAAAACCTATGCAGAAAAGCCTTAACGTATAGCTGGTGTACAGACAGTTCGGAGGAGAAAAAAAAAAAGAGGGGGAAAAAAAGAGACAATAGAAGACTCACCAGAGAGGAAAAATTATGGTAAGACTACGTAAGTTATCTTCTCTGGATGGAGTTAAGGGGGGGTAAAAAAACCAACCCAGTTTTGGTAGGTCTCTTTGAACTGTCTGCCTGAAATATAAAGTGCACAAAGCCTCGCGGATGTGTTTATTAATGTATTAGAATCTACTATTTTCAAGCTGCAACAAGATAAACGATATTTAGTTAATGAAAAGAGAGTTCTATCACCTGCTTACTGGGGCGACCTAATGGCAGAGAGAAATTAAACCGGGCTATTACCAGTCGTGTATTCACAAAGTATAGACGATAACTATTTCTTCCCCACCTCACAGCGGTGAGGATGATGATAGGCTACAGGAGAGTCAATGTATAAAACATCCAGCGATTATTCTGAGAGGAAATTAAACGCTGTCAGAAAAATGCAACCAGATGCAACAGATACCCTGAAAACAGGGATTTAAAGGTTCCTTATGCAAGCTTTCTACACACTTGGAACTTTATTTTGGAAGCTATTCTAAGTACAGGAACACTGCCGGTAGTGTAAGCTGTCTTAAGTTTCAACAGGGATGCAGTTTGGCAGTTCATTCATTTGAAAACAGTTATAGCAGTTTCTCAACCTGTTGTCCACGGTGAACATGCTGCTTTCTTAACATCTGGAAATGAACAACCAAATCATTTTCCTTGGTGCAATTTAATTGCCATAGCAACCAGGAGGCTATTAAAAATTTACAGACAAGGGAAACAGCTTTAGGAAAGTGGGATGGCAAGTAATCAATAGATGGACCCTTGGTGCCTTCTTACAGTTACCAACCCAAGTCGTACACTTGGAGCATTCTCAGGTGTTAATTCTCCCTTTCACTTTTTTGACAATCCCCAAGATTTTCAAATGCAAAGTTTTATCTTAGCTTAAAAAAAAACACTGATGAAGTGAGACTCGTGCAAAGATGCTAGAGTTATGCCAAGATGCTAGACTTCTCAGACAAGTGGTGAAGATATTCTCTTCTGTAAACTCAACAGTAGGAATAGTAACATGTTCATTCCCTACATCTGTTAAGGGAATACAGTTCAAAGCCTTATTTTACATTAATCTAAAAATCTTCATTAAGCCGCAGGAGGTAGTGGTTTGATTTTAAAAGTGCTGTGCAACTACTACTTACAATCCAATTACTGTTGATACTACTCCCCAGTTGGCAATCAGTGGTTTTTAGAACTTATGTTTGCTCTGTTATTTGTGGTGTATGATGCTGTGTAGTCATCCACAGAAGTTGTCAATTAGCTTGATTCCTCCTCCCTTGTTTCAGCATTAGCTTGTGTGACGCCTGAAAAGGGAATGATTTGCATCAGCATGAAAGACGTTTTGTTCTTCTATGTATTAGTATTTATACTAATAGTTGCATCAACAGCGTGTTCAGCAGTTTGAACTCTTCAGGAATTTCCTCATGCAAACGACAACGAATTAAACCCAAAGCAAACACTTGTTGACTCTACACTAACAGCTTTTAACTCTCTTGACTACACAGCAATTAGATTGTGGCGAAATACATATGGATACCAGAAGGTTTAAGTGTATTTTAACACAGCGTCAAGCAGCATGATTACTGCTGCCTGTAAAAGTAGGGTAGTGCACGCAGATTTTTGGGGCAGCCCATTTTAGAATAATTGTGTTAAAAATTTCAGCTTGACACGATGCCAAATTCTTTGCCTCCTAAGATGCTGTCACTAATGAACAAATTACAGAACAATTTAAATTCTCTTATCCTTGACCCCCAATAACACAGTGGCTCACCATAGGCTTAGAAAATGAAAAATCCCTTGAGGTGTGTTTACATGTGTGTGGGAGGGAAGAGGTCTTACTTGTTTGGTCCTTGTTAAAATCCCATTCTACCTGCAATCTGGAAGATGGGCTAATACAGGTTACACTGAATTGCAATGATGTCCCTACTCGTGTAGTCCATCGGGCACTGCGCAGACCGCGATTTCTATCCCAGCACCTCAATTGCAAAAGCTCTGACCCAGCACGCCTGAGTAAACTGCGTTGGCCGGTTCTGGAAAATGTAAGCTCTTTCAAGTAAGAAAGGAAGGAGCCTCGGATTCTTTTGAACTATACTATGCAACCACCACCACTACTTGAATTAAGATTGACATTTGAATGAAATTAATTAAATTTATTGTCTTTTGTAAGGAAAAAACCAGTATCAATTTAATACATCCTCCACAATCCTGTTGCTGTTACAAGGAAAAAATGAGTACTCACAATTAAGCCATTTTGGGAATTAATTTTAATATTAATATTTGAAAATTACTTCCCTGGTAGAACTTGAAGGTGTAACTTTTTTACCGCCAAAAAAATACTGACGTTTGAAATCAAAATGCAGGAATACTTTAAAAATTTAAGAAAGACATGCTAATCTAGTGTCAAAAGCTTTCCACATCCAGTAAATACTACAGCCTAGACTTTTGTGAAATTGAGTATGTCCAATATTCTATGTAAAACAGACTTTTCATTTTTGTCAGAAAACAGGCCAAACAGTGATTTGATGGCTTTGACTGAAGCTCATGTCACGGGAAGCCTTGAAGTTACCGGTAACAAGTCAGTGCTTCTCCAGAAGAAAAATAAGAACAAGACAGGTCTCACAGTTCGTGAGACCGTGTAAGAATTTGAGGCTGCGTAAGAATTCTTCTTTTCTGGGTAAGGTAATTTTTGAGAAATACCTTTTTCTGTCTTACTGGGGAGTGGGATGGTATTTTTTCAGCTCTTTGTTAAAAACCCATTCTACCTGCCATCTGGAAACAGGCTGATGCAAGTTATGCTGAATTGTAATGATGTCCCTACTCATGCAGTCCATCTTGCGCTGCGCAGACCATAGTTTCCAGCTCAGCATCTCAACTGCTTAATGTTTTTGCTTCATTTTTGTCCTGTTAAAGGGGGACAGAGAAGCTCTTATTTTAATAGCAGTAGTGTCAACAGTATTAAAAACTTCACTCTGAAACTGTACTGATATGACCCCCTTTAGCCACAGAGGTTACTTTCTTGTATACAAATGTTTACATTTATAGTTCAGAAAAGGAATGTGCAGCAGCCACTGACCGGTGAACAAAGGGCAGTGGAATTCACCTGTGATTTTACTGCAGAAGAAGAGAATGTGCAACAGTTTTAGGAGTTTAACTACAAATTAGAATTTATAATGCTGGTAAAATTTAAAATCCAGGATGTGCACTAAGCAAACCACTTTAAAATCAGTTTAAAATACTGCAACCCACATACAGCTGGTGAAACAAAACGGATGACTATTTGGCTCAAAACACCTCCCGGGCCCCACTGCACTGGAATGACATGAAACTAGGGGTAACCTCTAGGAGAGGAAGGGTAGTTTGATGACCGTGTTCTGGCACCGTGCATCTGCCCAACTGTTTCTAGCCCAGTAGTCAAAGGTTTCCTAGTGTCATCAAGGAAGTAATGAGGATGAGATAAAGCTCTTTTAGCCAGATCTAAAATGCTTTACAGGGAAGGCCTAGAGTTGAGGTCTAACACTCAAGAGCTAGTAATTTTGTAAAGGTAAATTCAGAAGTCCAGGTTGAGAAAGTGTTCTTAAACTCTAAGTCAGCAAAGCACACATTTTAGTGAAAACAGGAGAACATTAAACTGCTTCCATTTGTGCCTAGTGAGACATTCAGATGAAAAGTTACTGTAGGCAAAAAATTTGACTGCGAACTAATGCTGGAACTATACTACTGTTAAGCATTAACACAACTTGGTGATTTCTTTCCTTTCTTGTGGTGCAAGAAGTTGTCTGAGCCATCTCAAATAATAAAAAAGTTTATCTAGTTACCTATGTCAATTAGTAGCTTCTGAAAGCCTGAGACATGAAAATCATTACACGATTCTTCACCAATCAGCATAGGCAATCCTCCCTTTTCTCCCCTAGTACAAGGAAGACGGGAGGAAGGTAGTGCCAAGATTTGGGGAAAGGAGAACAGTCTTTACTCTTGAGAATTTAGGAAAATGTTGTACAAACACGTTTCATTCATCGCGAGACAGTCTTGGCTCACGTATAAAAGCACATGTATGAATTTGAATTCAGAGCAATTGCTAAACAGAGCAGTTTATTGCATAATTGGTAAAAAGCACTGACAGACAAATGGATGATACAATTTTCAGACTGTAATGTTAGATACTTACGTATCTTGGTTGCATGAGTAAATCCTCTGACATCAGTGAGATTACTCAAAAACACAACTTGAAACCCAAACAGGCTACAAAAACTTTTCTTTAGAAGGGAGTTGAATAGCTGCTTGTAGACTTCCCATATAATGCATGTTTCAAATGTTCCCCCTCAGATGTCTAATTAACACATTATATGAAAGTGAAGAGCACATAAACAACCTGACTGCAAAAGTAGTTACCCATTCTGTTGACCAGAAGCATTTCCCCTGTAAAGCGTTCCCAGTTTTGACATTAGAAAAATGCTACGTCCGAATACCTTATTGCTAATTCTAACGAGAAGTAGCTTGATAAGAATTTTTAAAATCCTGTTTTAATTGAAATTTTAACATTCTAAATGGTTTTACAATTTTAATGTAAAATAGTGTGTGCAAAGTACCAGAGAAGAATGAATATTCTGTATTATAAAGTCACAGCAAAAACCCAAACCTGAACTATCTTTGAAGTATTACAGTACACAACTTGGGGTAACTCCCCACCCGGTGTGTTGCCATGTTACACAGAATTGTACTCGGCTGACCTAAGTTATTTTACTGTGATATTAGCACAATGTAGTAGCAATGCAGTTCACTGTTAAACATAGGAGCAAACAGCCACAAATGAAATTAAGTTTTTGCTAGAAAAGTTAGCCATGAGTTACACAACTCCTTTACAACAACCGAATGGAAAGTCAGACAGACTTGATGCACAAACACAATACAAACAAAACAGAATGGAAAAGAAGTGCATCAATCCCAACTTCTGAAAAAGGAGCTAAATGACTTACCTTAAAGCCTAAGAAGTCTGCTGAAGAAAGAACAATGCCCGTACTCTTACGGAATGTGTTCATTACAGAAGAATCCCTTCATTAACAAGACACAGAAACTATTTTGTTTCATGGGCTCATGAAGAACAGATGTATTTGTGATGTACTTTTTATCATTAAATGCTGTTTCCAGAGCCATACTGTTATTATGAAGTGGCTTCATTAACAAATGAGGAAGTGATATATCCTGTCTCCATTAGAAACATGTGGGGAAAAAGAACGTTTGCCATATGGGAAGAAGGAGAAAAATCAGTGAGAAATTAAGTGCTTAAGCCTCCTGGATATCATAGCAAAAAAGGCAAAGCTTAAATTGGCTTTAAGTACATTGTATTTATAGTTCTGAACACGTGTTCATGCATTTTACAGCTATTCAACAACGACATCTTTAAATTCTACTGTAATTGCAGAATTTCTCCTAGAAGCCAGAAAGGTGAATCATTTTTAAGTTTTTGGTGCAGTATGATGAGGTAAGTTTAATACGTCTACATTTTAATTCCTTGCCGACTCTTGACCAAATTATTGGAGTCTTTAGCAGTATGATGTACTTAAAATTGTTGGGTCATATCCTGAAGTGCACTGGAGCAGCAGCTTAACAGATGGCATTGTGGAAGGCCTGTATTGATTAAACAACGCTTCAAGATTATTTCCTCAATTCTCTTTCTGGAACAATTACCTTCGTTGATGTCTGACACCCGGTTCCAGGAGTTAACAGTTATTACCAGAGGAGGCTGGCTTTGATCCCTGGGTCAACTGCAAAGCCAAAGTGGAAAAACGCATCTTTGCAATGTGCAAGGGCAGCTGATATTGGCTACTGTATAAGCAGTCCCACCTCTAACAGTCTCTCTTCTGTCATGAATCCTTTTCCTTTCCTTTCTCCTTTCCAAACCCAGTTTCTTCTCATGTCTAACCAGGAACATGTCATAGCTTTCGTCTCTTAAATAACATTGTATCTGTTTCCCCAAGATCACCAAATATTGCAAAAAGTAAACTGCACTGAATTACAAATGAAATAGTAACAAAAAAGATGACTCGGTTAAGCACCCTGTAACTTTTTTGTGAGCTTTACAGCACCTGACAAGGTTAAAAAAAAGGAAAGAAAACTTTATACTTCACTTTTCACAATGACATCGATTTATAAATTCTGAAGACTATCTACAACTTGTCAAGTCATCTCACTTTTGCTGGTACGGGTTACAGATAATGATACTGATAGCTGCCATTTAAGGCTCAGTTTTGATTCTGGGATGAAGATTTAACCATTCTCGATATCAAGCAGGCATTACGTTCTCAGTTCTCTAAGCAGCCTTTTTGGATAGAATACTAAAACAATAAGGTCGACTGGGGGAAGACACAAGTGACAAACTTTAGATGATGGTCATAAAAGTGCAAGAGACTCAGCTGGCACATTTCAACATGTTAACCCCCCTTCCAGTTTGAAGCTGTTCCTGAAGGTGGTATTAAGCCAAGACATTTTATGCTGAAACAGATAAAGTATATAGGACTATTCTACCTCAGCAAAAGACAAGTCACTAAGAACAGTCTAATGTGATTCTCTGTGCTCTTCTACCTAACCATGCTTCAGGACTACAAAAAAAATGTTTTCTGTGAAGTATGTAAGAAGCTTAAAACAAAACATATGTTTTGAAAACTGAACTAATGCTTTTATTTATTTTTAACTAAGTTTTCACCCTCCACCTACTGCTTAAAAGCCAAGATCAACAAACAAATAACAGTATGTTCAACAAAAATTTAGGTATCTACTGCAGGCTTAACATGGCATGTTAAGAGCATGCCTACAGCTGTAACTATTTCTTATTTATTCTAGATTACAATATTGACTACTGTATTTAAGAATGGATCTTCCACATACAGACAAGCTCTGAAAAAACCTCACTGTTTTCCTCTTCAGTATAAAAATATAGCATGCATGCACACAAAACAAGACTTCTCTAGGCAAAGATGCCTGCCATAGGTAAAAATAAAAAATCATTTAAAAAAAATTGAAAAATCTTTACAGATAAAAAAAAGATGCTATGCATGTACTAATGTCAACTGTATAACAAACTTTCATTCATTCTATGCTATTCTAACAGGTGGATCCAGAAAATACATCTGCGCTTAATCTTGATGTTTTATGTGTCCCTTAGACTTAAATTTCCACTGAACAGACTTGTTACTATAATCCAGAAATGTCTAAATTTGTTCCAAGTATGATTTTTTTTTTTTTAAATACAAAACCAAATGATTACAGAATTATGTTTATGACTCAAGAGCTGGTTCAACAAATTAAACTTTCCAAAGACAATACATTTGCTTCCTGAGATGGCTAAAAGTCACGTTTCATGTTACACTACAATTAACAAAAAATACTGTGCACAAAATCAGAGGTTAACTACAGCATACAAGCACATTTACAGAAGTCACCTAATTTCACTAGTACTATTGGTGTTAATGTGTACACCTTAACAAAAGTCCTAAAATAATCTTTATACATTACAAAACAAGGATTTACAAAACTTTATTTTATTTCCAAGTTACTTCATTCTAAAAATGTTGAAACATAAAAAAATACCATTTACTAAAGGAGTTTACAATAAAAGGCTAAACCTGGCATGGAAGAGGTAAATATATGGAAACCTGTTTTAACAGTCACAAATCAGTCGCTGGTGATTAAAGAACACTTTGTTCTTCAAAGCTGGTAGGCACTTCCACGTAGCCAGAAATGTAAGTTTTCCTACCACTCCTTTTCCCTCCCATACATAAAAATATCCAATGCAATAAAAAAAAAGTAGGATAAAAGGGTGGACATGTGATCAAATAAAAGCATTATCTAAGGTCTTGATTATTGTTCATCTTGTGTAAGTATAAAGATTTTGTCCCAAAGTTTTCCTGACAAGATGGAGTTATTTGGCCTTTAAAAGTGTTAGCTGAAATACCTCCCTTTTTTACCAGTATATGTTGTTTGCTCACTGCTGTATTGTTGGTTTATGTCTGTAACAGAAACTGGCTCTAGGCCAGCCCATGGGTCCTCAAGCATTGAAGGTCTGTAATAGTTTTCCACATCATTAGACACTCTTTTCTCTCTGCCATGCGCTGTACCAAATGGAGTAGATGTCCTGGGTGATCCCTTTGGAAGAAAACCATCAGGTAAAGAAACATTTAATAGACTAATTCAAACTAAAAAAAAAAATAAAAAATAGTTTCCTTCTAATGTAGCAGAGCTTTGAAGCTTATTATTAATGATAATTACTACTCCTCACCTGCATCTTCCTCAGAAAATACTAACTTTATTATACTTTTAATTATGACTGATGATTTACCAGGATAAGGAAAAAAACCCCAGTCTTCTCCAAAATACTTGTTTACATCACTCTGGCACATAACTACAGAACAGCTCCTCATGCTATTTTTCATAAGCTGCCTAAGTCAACAACATGTCTAACTCAAAAGCTGAACAACAGAACAGGGAGCTAGAGGCTGAGGAAGAATTGATAATGTTCACAAGAGCAGTATAGGTGGAACACAGCACTGTATAATGCAAACAGCTACAAATGACCTGAAGAACTTACTGGGAAAAACACCCTGTTTTAACCAAACTAGTGTTCTGTGAAATTTGAGAACAGATGACTTTCTTTGATATACAATCTGGATGTTAGTCAGTGATTAAGCAGATACTGCATAAAAGAAAAACCTTTTGCATGGGGCTTTTGATATTTGATTTTTTTTTTTTTGAAGATCAAGGACCACCACAATTGCTTCTACAAACCTGCTGCAGGTCTGCAACTTAGAGAGCTATGACATAAAGGAAATAGCTATAACCTTTTTCTCCTGTTAGCATCACCCATTGTTCTTTTCCTCAGATTCACTTTCCCAAAAAGTGACATTTTGTCTAAAGCTGTATTTGTTTAAATTCACTTGTTTTAACCAAAGCTGAACAACCTATACTACAGATACACAATAGTTAGTTTCCAAACATGCCTGTTGCATTCTGTATGATTAGAAGAACCCGATTCCTTGAGGCTGATTATCAGCCTCTGACTTTGTAAAGGAGGGTAAAAGCACTGATTAAGGGTTGCTTCCCCCCTGCCTCGCCCTGACTTTTTGGACCAGCGGTGATGGTATTTGAATTTGACTAATAAGCCCTATTAGTAAATAGATCGTATGAAACAATTTCTGGGTAAAACCGAGAAATGGTGCCATATAGCGAAGGCTCCTATGCTTAGCCAGAAGAACAGATTCCACTGAAAACTGCTTAGTCTTGAACCTATTTCTGAAAATGTGCTGCAGCAGGAGCCTGCTTGTGTGGTCCCAGTAAGTGCTTTCCTAAACTCCTACAGCTTGATGATAATAGACACATAACCAGATGTGGGAACATCCATGTCTTACTTACAGGGCACTTGTTTCTAATGATTCATCGTAGTACAATTAGGCTATGCAGATAAGATGATGATCTCAAAATTGAAAAATTACTAAAAGGTAGAGAATTACTTTATTGTATCAAAACCATGAGGGTAAGGTCACAGAATCACCTCAGAATACATCGAACAACTTTCTAAGGGACAAGAAGTTTCCTAGAGCAAGTCAACATGCACTAGCAAAAGTGACATTTATGTTAAGCACTCACATTTCGTAGTAAAGCAATAGTACACAGTGCATTCTATCTTCAAAATAAAAAAACTCTTTAAAACACCATGTTTAATGGAGACCCTGTAACTTTGACAGTGTAAAACTGTTTTGAGTGTGGAGTTTATTTAATGTTACATCTAATCCGCAGCACTCAAAAGCAAGCTGAACTAACATAATGATCTGCAGTATCCAGTGACAGAACAAAATGATTCAGTGGTAAGACTCTTTTGGATGGATTTATTTTATAATATTAAATTTCACTACAGTATAATGCAGGCCATCAATAACACCGACATTTCTGCGCGTTTGAAATCTAGGAAATGTGTTATTACCTAATACATGATTGACGGCCTTCAGCAAGTGTTAAATTTAAGGATGTAGATATTAATTTTTTAAAATTTAGAATACTAGTCATTATATGCTTTTTCCCCCTTTGTATTTTCTCTAGGAAAAAAAAAATCAAAATGTGATTATTCATATTATAGCCCTGTGGAAAAGGAAAATAGCCCTACCCGTGCAAATGAAACCATTCTGTGCAAGAAAAACTGTTTGGTGCCAAAGATACCTTAAAAAAAAAATATATATTTTACGATCACTGGTGCCAACAGCCTTTTCTCACTGAACTTTCCTTAAAGAAACAGACGTTCTATTCTCAATACTTTTTTCCCAGATAACAAATCTCTCTACAGTTGGAAAAAACCCATCTTTTGGTGCTATTCATTAACATGTTACTGAATGGGGTAATACCGCCTTGAAAATGGGAACAGTCACTCCCTTTGTCAGCTTTCTTCATCTGATGTAATTTTAGCTGCTGGCAGATGCACAGAAACACAGAAATCATGATTATACCATTTTAAAGATTTTTTTTTTTTTTACTTTCTGTAATAATTTTCAACCCATCACCACTAACTAGCTACTGCTACTAACTAGTTCACTAACTCCTGATGAGTGTAGAAAGGGAAACACTACCACTAAGTAAATTCTAAGAGGAGATATTCAAGAGATACAACAAACGTGTTCATAGAATTTAAAGCAGATGCATCTCTGTGGAAAAAATTGAAAGCTCTGTAAAGCATTGGCCACATAAAGGTTAAGTCAGCCATTTCAGAAAAATCAAGCTTACTATGTTTTTCTTTAAGTTTTCTGTTCATCTCAAAACATGAAAGTCTGCAAGCACAAAATGAGCACAGAATACTAATAACATGTCAGGAATAGAACACTAAAGTAAACATAAACTGTTGTTTGGATTTCCTGATGAGATTTTAAAGGGTCACTTAAGATTTTAATCTCAAAGGTGACAGCAGCAAAACAGGCAAAACAACCATGTGTACACATGTAAAAGTACACACGTACACATTACCTTAGTCCTAAGCAAAGCTACAGACATACAATGTCTTTCTAGTCTTAGAAAGCACCACTATCAGGTCAATGCTCCTAAACTACTCACAAGGTCTGAAGAAGGAAAGGGGAGAAGGGAAAATGTTGTGACAATCCGTGACTGGATTCAAACTCGTACCTTCTTTATGTCAGGTTTCTTACTTAAGCCCAAGGATGGAGCCTATGAGGCTGTTCCTGCCCACAGGTCCTGACGTGAAACAGTTCTGACTAACGCTAGAGGCAAAAGGATTCCTGCATATTCTTCTGCTCAGTTAATTTAAGGCAGGCTTTTAAAAAACACTTAATTGAATATCCAAAGAGTGATCTGCTGAAGGGAGATGTCTAGGCATCGGTGACATAAACCGTCCCTCCAGAATCTGCAGCAGAAACCCCACATCCTTTGCCTTTTCAACAGGTACAGCGGTTAAGCAATCTGTAGGCTTCCACGCTGGGAAAGCCTTTGCTGTGGTGTTAAAGAAAATGTATAAAGTTCATAATGATCCCCTTCCACCAACTATGAGATTCCTGTAAAATAGTTATCTGCATCGTTAAAAAGTAACCAAAGACTGTTTTTGAATGGAAACGTGACTATGCAGTGCAGGCACATTAAGATTTTACTAATCTCTATTAAGATTTGACTTCCTTATTACACTTTAATCCTTAAAGTGTCAGTAAAAGCACCTGAAAATTTTATCATTGTTTGTACTGCATGTGTCATTTGTTACACTTTTAAGGTTTCTCTAATATTGCATAAAGCCAGCTATGTACATCAAGTTGGTATCATCTCAAGAGCTGTCATCCCTATCTGCATTGCCAGTCACATGCCCCAACTAAACCATCTGACAAAAGCATAACTCACAGAACCTGTTGTGGACAGCTCTCAGAAAAACTACTTTATATAAACTAAAGCTTTCAGTGCAATGCAAAGACTTTAAAATGATACTATTATCCCAACAAATGCTCTCATTTCTGCTTAAAGGAGCCTCAGCTTAATTCTCTTTAATAAAGGACTTCTTTTCTCAACTCATGTCCCAGAAAGCTGTGTGTGGATAGGGCAGCTTCCATGTTGTAAGACAACACAGGCAAAGTAAAAGCACACAGCACTTCACTGCTGTGTTAAAGAAAACTGATCAAAAGGACGTACATACAAAGGAAAGAGGTGTTTGCTGCAGTTTTAGGCGGTGCTTGATTTTCTCTCTACCTTCACACGCCAGAGTATGAAAAGGAAGACATCTACGCTCTTTTAAGTCCTTGTGTCTTCACAACAGGCCTCAGCCAGGCCTGGGGCCCTCTTTCCTCTCCTGATCACACAGCTGCCTGAGCTGGGGTCTCTCCATCCTCTCTACGGGGGGGGGTAAGACAGATGTTGCGCAGCGTGGTGCAAGTCTCGCTCTCCCCTGAAAATCGTGGTGGAGGGGACGGATGCTGCGCCTTGTCACAAGCCCTCGGCGTGCTCTCCCCTGCGGGCCGAGGGCCCCGCTTAGCAGCAGCAGCTCCCTCCCTCCCGCCCCCGCCCCGCTGTGCGGAGGCGCAGGCC